CTTTGCAAAATGTTCTGATAAATGGACCTTTCCACGTTTATAGAGATGTTTAGCGTCTGGGGCCACTCAACCCAGAGATAAGAGAGGTCTGAGAAGAGCAGTGAAGGGCTTGAACTTCCAAGATTGCTTCAGAGATAGCAAAATAATTTTCGTAAGCACACTTAGCAGTTAGAAAGCAACGACAAGAAGCAGCTGTCTGGACTCCCTTAGATGTTAGCGTTCCTGACTCATTGTATCTGCCGTCCAGAATGGTTTCCTGGACAGTGTGTCAAAGAAGGAAGAACAATTTGAAGTGACAAAATCTGAATATATGCTGGCAAATCATGAAGGATGATACTTGTGATGGAAGAATTATTTAAAAAAAAAAAAAAAAATCCAAGAGCTAACTAGACCCCGGGGCCGTGGTGGAGAGTATTTTGGCAAAAGAAAGTGAAGGGTTAGGGACTTGGTGACATCTATACTTGGTCAATCTGTCATCCAGGTCATATGAAATCTAGCTAAAGATGGAGTTGTGGGCAAAGGAGGGCTATTTCTTCCCTTGCACGTTGCTCACAGAGACCATCAGGGGATCCGAGTAGCCCTGGTCTGAGCACCGACTCATGACACCCTCCGAAACCACACCCAGAGTCTGTGGGTTCTGGGACAGGGGGTCTGGGAATCTGAGAAAAAAAGGAGGGTCCTAGGATTTTCACATCGGTAATAAATCAGCAGGCAGGGGACTCCTGGGGGGCTCAGTCCATTAAGCATCTGACTCTTGATTTTGACTCAGGTCATGATCTCCCCATTTGTGGGCTTAAGCCCTGTGTCAGGCTCCATGCTGACAGTGCAGAGCCTGCTTGGGATTCTCTCTCCCTCTCTTTCTGCTCCTCCGCCTCTGTCCCTCTCTTTCTCAAAATAAGTAAGTAAACTTAAAATCAATTAAAAAGAAATCAGCAGGCAAAGGAGTGTCAATGTTGTACTTAAAACTACCTATGACTTGTGAGTACTTTTATACAGATAAATAAACCCTGTAGTAATCAGATGTAGGATTAAATCACTCAATAAAGCAAGTAAGTAATTCAGGAGCTATCTAAATCAGTGCCTGTGTCCCCAAACATCTTTTCTCCCCCAATTATGAGAAATTACTCTGTTTTGTCATAAGGCCTGAAGTTCCAAAACAAAAAAGAACTTGGTTAATGGGGCATTCAAGTGAAGTAGACGGAGCACTGGAAGAGGAGTCAGGGTCTGGGGTCTCCGGGTCGCTAGTTGTGTGACCGTGGGGAATTCGCTTCCTCCATCTAGGCCCTGGAATCTATAAAAATTTGGTTGGAACCAGATCAGTAGTTTTCAAACTGTTCTGTTGAAGTCTCATTTCTGTAGAAGGGCTGCAAGGAGTCTGCCAACAAGGGCATTCAATTTTGTTTTCAAATGTAATTTTACTCATTTATTTATTCTTAGTTTTTATTTAAATTCCAATTGGTTAACATACAGTGTTATGTTAGTTTCAGGTGTACAATATGGTGATTCAACACTTCCCTACGTCACCCAGGGCTCCTCACAAGTACACGCCTTAATCCCCATCACCTATTTCACCCATTCCCCACTCTGTCTTCCCTCTGGTGACCATCAGCATGTTCTCTGTAGTTAAGAGTCCGTTTTGGGGGGATGCCTGGGTGGCTCAGTGGGTTAAAAGCCCGATTCTTGATTTCAGATCAGGTCATGATTTCAAGGTTTGTGAGTTTGAGCCCCACGTCAGGCTCCATGCTGTCAGAGCGGAGAGGGGATTCTCTCCCTCTCTGTCTGCCCCTCCCCTGCTCTCTCTGTCTCTCTATCAAAATAGATGAAAAAATGAACATTTTTTAAAATATGCTTTTTGGATAATTTTACTCATTTAAATAACTCAGTTGATACATAACACACACATTTGTGATTACGTGTGATTCTGTGCTGACAGCTTGGAGCCTAGAGCTGCTTCGGATTCAGTGTCTCCCTCTCCCTCTGGCCCTCCCCCACTCACACTCTATGTCTCTCTCTCTCAAAAATAAAATGAAACATTAAAAAGATTTAAAAAGTGATCACATTTATAGGAATACAACATATTGAGGCTGACAAAGACCTTGCAGATCAGCTCATTTATTTTATAGATAAAAAGGCTCAGAAGAGGGAGACAATGTGCCAACATGTTGAGGACCAGCTTCAGCATGATGAGGGCTGAGGCAGGCAAGGTGCACAGGGAATGAAAGGTGACAGGCGGTGGAAAGAGGAAAGCGGTTAGAGCCTGGCCCCTCCTAGCACTTTGCTGGGCTTTAAGGGACATTTTCGCAGCACCCACTGTCACCCTATAAAAGAATTAAATAGGAAGCATTTCTGCATTCAAAAGTTGCTTCTCCTCCCTCTTTATTCTTGCTTGGGAATTCTCTAGCAGCCTACCCAATCCTGTCATTAATGCTGACAGCTCTCAGTTCTAGAAGATTCTCCCCAAGGGTTCTTGCCTTGAGATGTTTATTTGATTGTCTATAATATGCCTAGTATATCTTTCCAACAGGGAATATGCAGAGAACCCTTAATCACACCAATAAACACCAAATAGATCAAAAACAACAACAACAAAATCCAGAAGGTTTATAAACAAGTTTTTAAATGTCCTTAAAAATAAAGACAAAATAATTTTTATTCCTGCTTTTTCAAACTTGTAATATACCCAGTGAAGGATGGACCTATTGGGGACCGTGAAAGACTTGAGGTATCCCTGAGTTTCTTTGAAAATTTCCCCCAGGGCCATTAGAGGGTTAGCACAGGGATGTGTAGGTTCAGCTGCAAAGCTTGGAAATCCCAACCGAATGCTCAAGTGCAGGGTCACCTAGTATGGAGTCCCACCTATCAGAGACGTCAAGAATGGTGGGTTCTGATAGACCTGGGTTCAAATTCCAGCTCTGCTCTCACCAACTAGGGACCCTTGGATGATCTTCTAATTTCCTCTTTCTTACCTATAAATGAATAATAACACCTTCCTTGCAAGATTGTTGTAAAGCCTTAAAAATAAACATTATGCATGAGGTGCGCAGCGTGGTGCCTGGCATCTAGAAGCCACTTAATATGTCGTTGGTATTTATTGTTGCCATCCTTACTAGGATGAATACCAATTTGTAGGCTTGAGATGGAGAAGACTGAAAATAAATCTGATTACTTGGAAATTTGCTATTTCACATTTAAAATGTGAAATAAATGTCTGTAAAAATGTAAAGGCGTTTGAAGTCGGCAGTCCTGACAACAGACTGCACTCTTTTAAGTAGTTCCCATTTGCAAGGTCAGATTTAGGCAGACCTGCCCGGCCCGGGCTCTGAGGCCGCACTTAACACTGGCTTGGCCATGACAACACTTAGCAAGCAGGAAATTTGGAAGCTCTCCATCTAACAACCTGTGTAAGCAGCTAAAGCAGAAATTTACTTTAAGGATATATGATCTGATCTGATTGTGTTGCTTCAATCAACTGGGTGCCTACCATGAGAAATCTCTAATAAAGCAAAGATTTTGAAAAGACCTTCCCCGTTTTGCCACAGTGAGAACTGTCCATGCACCACATCTTTCTGTGATAGAAAAACACAACACAAGAAGTATCTATAAATTCATCTAAACATTCTAGGAAAAAATACTCTCACTTGTTTTTTTCCTCTTTAAGAAATTACTCCCCTTCCAGAACATCTCTCTGTCCTTTGTCTTTCTCCAGTAGAAAGTCAAGGGGAAGGCAAGCATATTCTCTTGTTCAACACGTGTCATAATGAAGTAAAAAGATTCTCCTCATTCGCTTCCCCAAAAGAGTCACCACTTATTACCCTCTCTTCTATTCCTTCAATCTTGCAATTAATTCCAAAATTAAATAGTCTTAATTCAGAAATTTATTTCTAGGAGCCATCCGAGGTGAGCAAAAACAGCATAAGTACCAGGTGAGGGAAATGGTTACAGAAATTCCAGTTCATCCTCAGAACAATATACTCTTCGGTCATCACAAATGCATGGTAGCAGTGTATTAACGCGTTCGTAATAAGTTTCAAAGGGGAGGATCAAGGCTACTAAATAACATTTACTGAATAATTTTAAGTTATAAACGGACATGAATAGAAATAAGACCAGAAAGAAATCTATCAAAATAGTAACCAAGTAGTTTTTCTCTGGGAGGTGAGAATTTTGGTTATTTATTATTTTCTTTGTTAGTGTCTCTATTTTCTAAGATACCTAGAATGAATATACTTTACTTTTGCAATTGAACAAAAACAAATCTTTTTTCTTAATTTAAGAGAATATTTCCAACCCTATTTTAATCCAGAGAAAAGCAGTGCAATTTAGGGACAGAAAGAACCATAGGGATGACCTACCTCAGGGCAGAATGCATTTGCTGAAGGAGGGCAAATTCAGGAAAGCTGTCCCTTCAGCTCAGATACTGAAGGAGGGCAGGAAGCAGGGCACTGACCACACACTCTTCCCCTGTAATCAGCCATCATCTTGGTGACCAGATTCACCGCCTCAGGCGTAAATTCTTCCACAGTTGCTTTAATCTATGGCCACCATTTTCCCTGATGACCCGTGGAGTTCTCTGTTTCCCCAAATGTAGGCCACCCTCCGCTGGGACTACGGATGATTTTAGCTGCTGCACAGGCTACTGAATAATGCGATGGTGTTAAATCATACTGAACCACAGGATGGGAGAGTCTGTCCCTATGTTAGTTTCCTAGTGCCACTGTGACAGATTATCACGAATTTCGTGGTTTAAAATATATAAGTTTAGGGGCACCTGGGTGGCTCAGTTGGTTAAACGTCCGACTTCAGCTCAAGTCATGATCTCACTGTTTCTGAGTTCGTTCGAGCCCCGCGTCGGGCTCTCTGCTGACAGCTTGGAGCCTGGAGCCTGCTTCGGATTCTGTGTCTGTCTTCCTCTACCCCTCTCCCTGCTCACACACTCTCTCTCTCTGTCTCTCTCAAATATAATAAATAAACATTAAAAATAAAAATACAAATAAACATAAAAGTATATGGAATGCTTCATGACTTTGTAAGTCATCCTTGTGCAGAAGTGATGCCCATCTTCTCTAATTTCAACTTTAATTTATGTGATGTTCAAGTGAGCACTTGAAAGTGTTTATTTTGATGAAGCTTACGAAGGGCCCATCGTATTCCAAATAAGTTAACTTTCTCAGCTCAGTTGACTGAGGTTTGGTTAGGAAAGTGGTCTGCACAGATTAAAATGACAAAAAAAAAACAAAAAGCCAAACCTAAAGTAACCAACCCAACAGACACAGAAGCAGACCCATAAATACAGGAATAAACTGATAGTTTGCCAGTGGGAAGGGGTGGGAAGATGGGAAAATGGGGGAAGGGGAGTAGGAGATACAGGCTTCCGGGAAGGGCATGGACAGGTCATGGGAATAAAAGACACGGCACGGGGAATCAGGTCAACAGTATTGCAATAGCATAGCGTGGTGACAGACAGGAGCTACACTTGTGAGCACAGCATCATGTACAGAGTTGTTCAAGGGCTATATTGTACACCTGGCACTAATGTAACACTGTGTCAGGTATACTTCAATAACAAACTTTTTTTAAACGGCAAAGGCAGGAGTTGGCGGAAAAAGAAATACCAGTGCTTTTATTTAATTATACTTCACACAGATTTTGAATGACTACAAATTATTGTCATTCTTCTTTTCATTTGGATTGGCTCTGCAGGAGATGTGATGATGCTGATGGAGATTTTGTTGAGACAGAAGCCCTGTTGCACCCTGACGCTGACCAGGGGAAATATTTCGTAACCCTCGAGGTGTGAATACCAGTGATCTGTTTTTACTGTACCCCAAAGCACTCCCGAAATCCCCTCCGATCTCTAAAATGTAATGAGAACTGCATCAATGTTTTGCAATCTCTGAATATCAGATAAAGATAGGAGTGAAGGATTGCGTAGTCAAGTCGGTGGAAACTCAGAGAAACTGACATTTCTCCTTAGAGCAATATATACATCAGAAGGTGCCAGCATGGAATTCAGCTTTGGGTGGGACTAGCAATGAATCAAATTAATGACTCCAACTTGAGTGTTTTCTTCTTTCAAGTCACCTTGCTAAGCACTGACAAGTTAAAAGGAAAGCCCAAACCATGGGTACTACTCACAGTTAACAGCATGGATGGATCTCAAGTGAGTGAAAATAAGCCAGTACCAGAAAGTCACATACTGCATGATTCCACTGACACAAAGTTACAGAGATAAAAGAACCGATTCCTGGTTGCCAAGGGAGGGCTGGGGAACGAACGGTAAGAATGGTATTTACGTACATAGGGAAAGCATGAAGGAAATTTCTGTGATGATGGACAGGTCTAGATCTTCATTGTAGTGGTGGTTACACAATCTACACATGTGATAACATTGCACTGAACCACATGTGCACGCACGCATGCGCACCCAGGAAAGCATGTAAACCTTGTGAGATCTGAGTAAGTTCTGTGACTTGTACCAATTTCAGTTTCATGGCCTTGATAACTAGAGTTAGGTAAGATGCTACCTTTGGGGGAAGCTGAGTGACGAGTATGTGAGAACTTTCTGTAGTATGTTTGCAATTTCACATCAATCTGTATTATTGCAAAATAACGATTTTAAAAGATTACACAATAAGAAAGGCATAGAATCTATTCTCCAGCCACTTAAAGGGCATTAGGGAAATAGACTAAAGAGATAATTCAGGAGCATAATAAAAAGTGATTTGGGGTGGGGCTCCTAGGTGGTTCAGTCGGTTGGGCTCGACTTCGGCTCAGGTCATGATCTCATGGCTCATGGGTTCGAGCCCTGCATCGGACTCTGTGCTGACAGCTAGCTCAGAGCCTGGAGCCTGCTTCAGATTCTGTATCTCCCTCTCTCTCTGACCCTCTCCTGCTCACATTGTCTCTCTCTGTCTCTCAGAAATAAAATAAAACATTTAAAAAAAGTGAATTTGGGGCGCTTGGGTGGCTTAGTCAGTTAAGTGTCCAACTTCGGCTCAGGTCACGATCTCATGGTTTGTGAGTTGGAGCCCCGTATCGGTCTCTCTGCTGTCAGCACAGAGCCCACTTCAGATCTTCTGTTTCCCCTCCCCACCTCTAAATAAATAAACATTAAAAGATATTTTAAAAAGTGATTTGGAAGAAGTATTAATTTCAGAGCATGAGATTCAGGGAAATCTTGTCAAAGCTGGTGGTGTTTGGGCCAGACTCTGGAAGAAGTGGATAAAGTCACAGGAGGAGAATGGGAAGTGGTCAGAAGTGAATCAGGCCATGGGTGGTCACATAACTTCCTTGCTCTTGGATTAATGAGTCTCAGAAAGCCATTAGTTTAGTCTGGTTTCACCCCTCTGACGCTAATTTTTTCCTGAAAGAAATTCACCAAAGACTTTACATTTGACATGGATTTGTATTAGAAATTAAAATTATTTACCTTGTTCTACACAAAATATGAATGGAATATTTAGACTTGAGAAACTATAGTTCCCTAGCCTGTTATGAGATTATGAGTTTCTTGCTTTGTGCCAACACAAGGGGAAGACAAAGAAAAGGAGAAACAGCGTCAAATTTTCAATAACTTTGCATTACAAGGTCTATAACCAAGTTCCTCATTAGTGAATTGCTAGACTGTATGCTTACTTGGAAGTGATCCTGGTATTTCAGACAAAAGAATGAAAAATGTACTATCAGTGGCCTGATTAGCAATCTTCTACTGATCTGATTTTTTTATCCAGCTTTATTGAGATATAACTGACATTTAACATTGTGTATGTTTAAGATACACAAGGTGATGATTTGATACACTTATATATTGTGAAATGTTGGTCACCAGTAAGGTTGGTTAATACATCCTTCATCTCACATAATTACTGTTTTGTTGTTACAGTGAGAACATTAAAGCTCTCACAACAACTTTTAAGTACACAATACGGTATTGTGAGCTATAGTCACCAGGGTGTAATGATACCCATAACTTACTCAGCTTAAAGTGCGAACCCTTTGAGACATCTCCACCCCCCAAGAACACAACCCCCTCCCCAGCAACCACCATTTTACTCGGTTTCTAGGAGTTTGGCGTTCTTAAGTTCCACAAATAATTGAGAATAGTTGTCTTTCTTTGTATGACTTATTTCACTTAGCATAATGCCTAAAGGTCTATCTAGGTTGTTGCAAATGGCAGGACTTCCTTCTTTCTTTATGGCTGAATATTATTCCAGTGTGTGTGTGTGTGTGTGTGTGTGTGTGTGTGTGTGTGTGTTTATTACATTTTGTTAATCCATTCAGATGTGGATGGATGCTTAGGTTGTTTCTATGTCTTGGCTGCTATGAATAATGAGGCAATGACGCGGAGGTGCATATATCTTTTTGAGATAGTAATTTCCATTCCTTTGAATATATGCCCCAAAGTAGGATTGCTGGATCATATGGTAGTTCTATCTTCTCATTTCAGTTTGTGGCTAGAGTTTGCAAACCATAGCAATCCACTTCCCCCTTCCACACAAAAGCCCAAAACATTTTCTCATCTTCTGCCTTAATTTTCCAAGTTATTCTGGTCTAGGGTAATACAAACATGATTTTCTCCGTAGGGTCCCACTGTCATTTATATACCATTTGAGGAGCACCTGGGTGGCTCAGTTGGTTAAAAATCCAATTTCGGCTCAGGTCATGATCTCAAGGTTTGTGTGTTCAAGCCCCGTATTGGGCTCTGTGCTGACAGCTCAGAGCCTGGAGCCTGCTTTGGATTCTGTGTCTCCTTCTCTCTCAGCCTCTCCCCCACTTGCACTCTGTTTCTTTCTCTCTCAAAAAATAAGTAAACATTAAAAAAAACCTTGAAATAAAATAAAATGGCTTCCCAAGTGTTTTAAAATTGTCATTCCTTTTAAAGACACTAAAACTAAGGTTAAAAATAATGAATTATGGATTATTTATTGAAGAATGATGATGTGGCATTTGACATCCCCAAAACCCTGATCTTACGTGCAAATATCAGTGACCTAATTTACATTTACCTGTTGTAAGTTTAAATAAACTGTGGGAGGTATGCATGTGTATCATTTACTTATGATTCCTTGAGGATCAGAAACAGTTTTCTGTTAATGACATTATCGTAGAAGGTCAAGAACCTTGGCAAATTTATACCACTCAGGACTACAGACTGACACAAAACTTTACACTACTCTTGGAACTCTGTACTAAATCCTAGAATCAATGTCTGGCACCATTTAGAGAAGGAAGGAGAGCAAGACTTGGAATATTCCTGTGTCTTCCTTGCTGCTTCTAAAATAGGCTTTCTGGAAGCTGCTTTAAATGTCACTTGCTAACAGGCGATAGTGTAAAGTCCACATCGACAACAAAGACACCGGTGGTGATCGGTTTAACTTCTCTTTAGAGCAAAACAAGAGAGAATTCTTTCTCATTGTTCTAACTTAAGAATAATTAGTAATTCAGCTTATCTTACCTACTTATTCCCAGTTCCATCTTTCTCTTTTCATTCTTAGCTTGGACCAATAAAATGCGCTCCCAAATACTTAAATATTGTTAGTTTTCCCAGTCTGCTGTTTTCTTTCATGCTTGATGTGGGCTGGACCTTATATCATGGCTTGCTTACAGATGACCATAATGACTATAGCCCTAACTCCGATACTGCCTAAGCCATATGATCACAGCCACTCCAAATATAGTCCCAAGTGGCTGCCTTTACAAATCCTTCCCTTCTAGGAAATATTTCTTTAACTAGGAAAGAAAAAGTCCTCTTTGAACTACTCTTCCAAGTGTACAGTTAGCAGAGATGAAAAATCGGGGAAGGGATTTGACTGAGGGGAAGGGATTTGGAGGGTGTTTGTATTTCTTAGAGAAAGAACAGGACAGTTGAAATAATTCTTAGGTGGATGTCAGGTAAGGGAGCATCTCAGCAACAGCAAAGAGGTGAACCACACTGGAGAAGGCTATCCTGCTGATTAGTCTCTTTCCCAAAGCTGCTCACAGTCTTGCACACAACTTTGAACCCAGAAGTGTACATATGACCATCAGGAGTATGACTTCATCAAGTCTATGATTTTCCTGTATACCCGCTGAGGAGCGTCAAGGCCCCAGATGAAATCAAAGTGGTTCCAATCAGGCAACAAGTCGAAGTAACGGAGGTTCCTGATCTGGGGGAGTATCCTGGCCACATCCTGGGGAGTTACAAGGACGTCATTGCCCCCAATCCAGATAGCAGTAGGCACTCTCATGGCGGTCAAGTCATAGAGTGGGGGGCGGCTCTATGGAAGAGAGAGAAAGAGCATTCTTGAGAGAAAGTTCCTCATGGCAACTACTGGATTCAGATAAGCAGACAGGCTGCTCAGTGAGCATTTACTATGATCAAAGTTCTGTCTTTGATAATAAAGCACTGAGGGAAATAGGAAGACTGCGTGCAATGGTCCCCATCTTCAGGGAGTGGGAAGGAACAAGGCAAAATAGGTAAATAAAGATTTGCATACAAAGTAAGGTATGTCAAAAGCCACAAAACTGCTCCCCAAAAACAATGGCTTGAAGGCAAAGAAGAAATGACTTCTGACGGAGCTTCACAGAAACAAGAGTCATTTGAAATGACTTTTGAGGGAGCATTGGATTTTGACAGAGAGGGTTGAGGGCAGGAGGACTTCCTAGCAAGTGAAGAGCATGTACCCCATGGGCAGGATGGTAAACTGTCCCTGGAACCCCAAGAAGAAACTACTTGAGCAGATGAGGTAGGAGACAGATAGTCAAGGTCTAGACACTAGGCTAAAGTATCTTGATACCTTCCAGAAGTTTGGAGGTGGAGGTGTGGCAGGGTCACTTCTCAGAGCTCTGTCTTAAGATGATTGTGTGGGCATCATATGGGATGACTTGAGGAAGGAATAGGCTGGAAGTAGTTCCTGAAATAAGCTAGACAGGCGGTGGGGATGGTCCTGAGGATAACTGAAGCCATAGGGAGGATTAGATTCTCCAAGGGAGAAAGGGAGAGGGGTGTGAAGAATCCTGGAGAAAGCTGACAATTTGTGAATGGGGGTGTGGTGGTGAGGAAAGTAGCCAGTGTAGACAGAGGGCAGAGGAAGCAATCAAAAAGGGAAGGAAGGGGCATTTGGGTGGCTCAGTCAGTTAAGCAGCTGACTTCAGCTCAGGTCATGATCTCGTGGTTTGTGGGTTCGAGCCCTGCATTGGATCCTTGCTGATAGTGTGGAGCCTGCTTGGGATTCTTTCTCTCTCCCTCTTTGTCTGCCCCTGTCTCTCTCTGTGTGTGTCAAAATAATTAAACTTTTAAAAAATGGAAGGAAAAACGCAAGATCACTGAATTATGGAAGTCCACTTTGGGGTAGTGAATGGCAAGGAGACTGTGTAGAAAGATGAAGGCCCAAACCACATTTCCCAGGGTTCAGGAGTGAGTGGGGGAGGGGAGGAAGTGGAGAAACTTGGCCTTTTTAAATATTAAAAAATGTTGGTTAAAAACAGAGGGATGGATTAGTGCACGTTAGAATCGGTAGGTTGACCGAAGGTTGTTTGTTCATTTTCCAAAAGGAACAGCGGTTCATTGAAACTGATAAAGTAGTCAGGAGAAAGAGGAAATGGGAAGAGATGGGCTCAAGGGCACGAGGCCTCAGGCTCAGAGAAAGAAGAGGGCTTCCATTTTGGAAGAGAGGAGGGAAGAAGAGAATCAAGGGGACAGAGACATTTTAAGGTGGAGAAGAGGGGCGTTAAGAAATTTCATATATGGGGCACCTGTGTGGCTTAGTTGATTAAGCACCTCACTTTGGCTCAGGTCATGATCCTGAGATCTGTGGGTTCGAGCCCTGCATCAGGCTCTCTACTGATAGCTCAGAGCCTGAAGCCTGCTTCAGATTCTGTGTCTCCCTCTCTCTCTCTCTGCCCCCTCCACCCCCACTTACACTCTGTCTCTCTCTTTCTCTCAAAAATAAACATTAAAGGAGAGGCTGGGTGGCTCAGTCGGTTGAACGTCTGGCTTTGGCTCAGGTCATGATCTCGCGGTTTGTGGGTTCGAGCCCCGCGTCGGGCTCTGTGCTGGCAGCTAGCTCAGAGCCTGGAGCCTGGTTCGGATTCTGTGTCTCCCTCTCTCTCTGACCCTCCCCTGCTCACGCTGTCTCTCTCTGTCCCTCAGAAATAAATAAAACATTAAAAAAATAAATAAATAAACATTAAAGAAAATTTTTAAAAATTAAAAAAAAAAAAAAAGAAATTTCATGCATACAACAAATAAATGTTAAGGGCCCAGGATGTGCCCAGTATCCTGCCAGGTGAGAAAACACCAGTGAACAAAACAGAAGGAAACGTCTGCCCTCACGGGGCTCACACGGGCTAATCCTCTTTTTCTCCGCCAAACACGGTGCGCGCAGAGAACAGCACTGGGAATTTAAGAGGGCAAAGTGCTGAGACCAGAATATCATAAAACTGACTTCAAATGACCCAAAATCATACACAAATAAAACAGGACTGGCCTGCCCTAAGGTAGGACCATCTATCTAACCGCTGAGAAATTCTAAGTACATTGACACTCTCACGCACGCTGCACCCTTCAATCTTACAATTTTATTTGTTAATTTTGCCTCCGTTAAAGCTGAGAAAGAAGGAGCTGTGGCTAATAATGGCCTTAAGTGTGTGTATGTGATATTTTTGCTTCATTCTCTTGTAAACAGAAACAATATATAAATATAACCTGCTCATTAACAATAATGGAAGAAAATGGAAGTATGTTAAATCCAAAATGAGAGCCTCCTTTATTCTTCACATTCTTCCCTTTCATTCTGCCTTTCATCTCCACTATGAAGGTAATCCCTTTAACACTTGCTAGTGGTTTTTTGTGTTTTTTTTTTCCTTTCTGGTCCTATAATAGGAATTTGCTAATACTTACATCTGTGAATACACAGGATCTGAAGGGCAGGGGAAAACTTTCAGGGTAATGGAAATGTTCTATATCTTAATTGTGGCATGGTTACACGAATGAATGTATGTATTTGTGGAAATTCACTGACTTGGAAAATCAGTGAATTTTATCGAATGTAAATCACACCTGAATCGAGCTTCAAAAATAGTAAAAATATACATAGCTGCCTTAGTCGTCTTAAAGGCTTGTAGAATAATTTCTCTAACAATTCAATCCATTAGTGAGAAATTGACTGGTCTGGCTCACTGTTTTGATGCTCAGAAATAAGTTTAATTGATTTACGCTGGTGCTAATAAGTAGCCTTCAATATACATCAGTCTGGGAAAACACTGGAAACATTTAATGTGTTTGGTTCATACCAAGAAGCCCAGTTTCTGACTCTGAGGAGAGAAATGGTAGATTTGTTTGTGATTAACAGGATTAATCACAAGTACAGGAGGGCTAAGTGGGTCTACAAATTTTAGTGTAAAAATTCAGGGGCACCTGGGTGCCTCAGTCAGTTAAGAGTCTGACTTCGGCTCAGGCCATGATCTCACGGTTTGTGGGTTCGAGCCCCACATGGGGCTCTGTGCTGAGAGCCAGCTCAGAGCCTGGAGCCTGTATCAGATTCTGTATCTCCCTCTCTCTCTGACTTTCCCCTGCTCATGCTCTCTCTCTCTCTCTCTCAGAAATAAAAAAAAAGAAAATTCAGAGGGAAAAACAATACTAATGACTCAACTCTTCATGGGAGATATTATTCTTTTAATTTTATTGTGGGATCCTGTTTTTTTCCTACTGATATCAAGACGTCAGTGTTCATCTACTCTGTACGTGTTAATAGATTTTTATAAAACAATTTCCATTACTATACAGTCAACAAAAGTATGTTCAAAAACACCTCAGTAACATTGACTAGATCTTGCTGTTACTGTATATGAAAAAGCAAGAATAAAAATTGTGTAAGGGGGAGTGCCTGGGTGGCTTAGTTGGAAGAGCATCTGACTTTTAATGTTTATTTTGGTTTTGAGACAGAGAGAGACAGAGCATGAGCAGAGGAGGGGCAGAGAGAGACACACACAGAATTTGAAGCAGGCTCCAGGCTCTGAGCTGTCAGCACAGAGTCTGATGCGGGGCTTGAACTCGTCAACCACGAGGTCACAACCTGAGCCAAAGTCGGATGCTCAACCGATTGAGTCACCCAGGCACCCTAAGAGAATCTGATTTTTGATCTTGGGGTTGTGAGTTCCAGCCCCATGTGGGCTGCAGAGATGACTTAAATAAATAAAACTTTTAAAAAATTGCCTAAAAGCAGCGATACTGAGAAGACTGGAATAAATGCAGTAAAATATTGATACACCAATATTCTCTGGGTGGAGGAATTATAAACTATTCGAATTCCTTAAGATATGCTTCTTTTATTTCCCAACTTTCTGGAGTGAATGCATATTTCAATTAGACATTTTTAAAAAAGTTCTATCAATGACAATGCCACCAATTGCCAGGTAAGATTCTTTTTACTCTCCAGTAATTTCTTTTTTTAATGTTTATTTATTTTTCAGAGAGAGAGAGAATGTGCGAGTGCACATGTGCACATGAACAGCGAAGGGGCAGAGAGAGGGAGAGAGAGAGCCTGAGCAGAGGAGGGGGGGAGAGAGAGGGCGACAGAGGATCCAAAGTGGGCTCTGCGGTGACAGCAGCGAGCCCAATGCGGGGCTCAAAACTCGCAAACCACGAGATCATGAGCTGAGCTGAAGTTGGAGGCTTAACTGACTGTGCCACCCAGGTGCCCCTCTGATAATTTATTATAATTTCTCAAAACCTGGCTTCTGGGGCAATTTGGAGCAGCTCACCTGATTGTAGTGATGCATGTTCTCAGCTTCACTTCCCCAGTCATATGCTCTGAATTCATCTGATCGGTAAAGCTGAAATAAATGTGTTGGGAAAGATAATTAGAGTAAGGCTTGGTCTCCTCAAGCCTTCTTCCCAGGTTACCTCGTGCTTCAACTCAGCGTCTATTTTACAAGCTCCTATCTACGATAGAGTTCATTTATGTCACCTACTTCGTGTCTACCATACCTTTAAGGTCCATTCCCTTAAAATCTGGGGAGATCAGGGGTGCCTGGATGGCTCAGTCTGTTAGGCATCCAACTTTGGTTCAGGCCATGATCTTACAGTTCATGGGGCCGTGGGTTTGAGCCCTGCATCAGGCTCTGTGCAGACAGCTTGGAGCCTGGAGCCTGCTTCAGATTCTGTGTCTCCTTCTCTCTCTGCCCCTCCCCCAAGACTTTGTTCCTCCCCCCCTCAAAATTAAATAAACATTGAATTTTTTTTTAATTTGGGGAAATCAAACCAAGGACAGTGGCAAGGTCAAAGCAGAAACCAGCTTCGCACCTTCTTTGGGTGGACCTGCTAACCTTGTCCTTTCGGATGTAACAAAATGACTTTGGACTAGTTTTCCACGACAAAGACGCTACCTGTTTTATGTGCAGGATGTTCTGGATTGATGATCCAGTGGGAGCATGTGACATATAAACGTCCATTCGACTCTGAAGGGAAAGAAAACACAGTAGGACAAGAATCACCCAATGAAATACGCTATACCTTCCAGAAGCAGAGAACAATGGTACTACGAATTAGCGAATGAAAGCTGGGGTTTTGGAAATGATGCCACAAGTAAGATAAATAAGAATTCATGCCTGGCACTTGAATGGGAGTAAACCCCAGGTTGCTTAAGAGCAAACCTGCATCAGGTTGGAAGCTTTGGGTTAATTCTCTGTTTTTAAAAAAACTTTTTTTTTTATGTTTTATTTATTTCTGAGAGACAGAGAGAGAGAGAGAGAGACAGCATGAACAGGGGAGGGTCAGAGAGAGAGGGAAATACAGAATCTGAAACAGGCTCCAGGCTCTGAGCTGTCAGCACAGAGCCCAATGCGGGGCTTGAACCCATGAACTGTGAGATCATGACCTGAGCCGAAGTCGGACGCCCAACCGACTGAACCACCCAGGCGCCCCTATTCTCTGGAAGCAGCAATGGTCATTGTGGGGCAGTGAGCTTTAGAAAGATGCTCTGTGTGAGTGCAGGAGACATGGTGTGCGTGTGCATGGCTGTGCACTGTCACAGATCACTAAGCCAAAAAACCTGGATTTCACAACCTAACTTTGTCTGTTAGAAGCTTTGTGACTTTGGGCAAGTTATTTCACATCTCTGAGTTTCTGTATTTTCACCTATTAAGTGAACATACTAAAAAATCATACTGTGTCAGGTTTTTGTGATGATAAAAATAAAATATCATTACAGAAAAGTGAAAAACAATCGCTTCCGTATGTACTGTACTTTGGCCTTTGCAAAACAATAGAGAGATGAAAATTATAGAGTTATAATAGTAATCATAATACTGTCTTAGAATACTGTATAACGAAAGTAATCAAGGGAACTATCAGAAATATTTACTTTTGGGGCACCTTGGTGGCTCAGTCGGTTAAGTGTCCGACATCGGCTCAAGTCATGATCTCATGATTCATGAGTTTGAGCTCCGCGTGGGGCTCTGTGCTGACAGCTCAGAGCCTGGAGCCTGTCTTTGGATTCTGTGTCTCCCTCTCTCTCTTTGTCCCTCCCCCACTCACGTTTTGTCTCTCTCTCAAAAATAAACATTAAAACAAATTAAAAAATAGATTTGCTTTAGAAAAAGCAGGCTTTGAACAATGGTTCCTATTGTATTTCAGTTGGGCACAACATAGCCTCTACCAGGGGTAGAGTGGGCTGGCAGAGAAAAGCAATTTGAGAACTAGCCTCACTGTCACAGCCTCACTGGCCGCCATATGGAATTCAACCACATCAGTCTGCACATTAGCCTTCCCCTCCTCCTCCTTGAATTCTCATAAAAGGAAACAAAGGGTTGATGAACGAGGACTGTCCCTTTTTTGTGGGAAAGGGATTCTACCTCCATTCCATCTGTCTTGTACTTTCCAAGTTAAGGGAGGAGTTTTAGCTGAGGTCAACATCACCCAACAAATGAAGATACACAGGAAATAAGTGCAATGCTTGGATGTACTTTTCTAGATTATTTATTATTATTATTATTATTATTATTATTATTATTATCTAGTGCACAGTAGTGGTTGTAAAATCAAATGGACTGTAGCAACGGTGGTCGAGAGAAAACAGGTGAACCCCCCACTCGTGGTGGAATGCCATGGGTTTCCTGTATGCAACCAGGGATGGCAGGATGAGGCTGCCTATTCTTTTCCTCAGTCTTCACAGTCAGGGTCCACTGAATACCTAATCTACGCAGAGCCAATCTCTGCCCTTGTAGTGTAGAAGCCATATTAATCTTTACAGTTTAGTGATACATCAAAGCGCGTCCAAGGAAAGGTGGAATTTCGTAAAGCACCCAATGGGCCCCTGATCGTCATACATACCACATTCATATTTTTCTTGTTGGCTCCAGCCCATAAGGACATCATTTCACTGCATATCACCCATAATATTCTGTTGTTGCAGATTTTGGTGGAAGGTACCTTTCCCATCTTATCTTCTAAAAAGAAACCTTTGGTACCAAAAAAATGCTGTAAAAATAAAAAGCAATTATCCTTTCAAGAGCCATTTTTGGACTTCCTGATGTTCCCTTCATCCCAGGAATGAGGATTCTCAGGAGCTCTGTTTGTATCTGTTTTGCCAAGGAGACCAAGTCATCCGGGAAAAGAAAGTGCTTATGAATCCATCTCCATCGAGGGAAGATCGACCAATGTAATTTTAAAGGAGATTGCAGTAAGGATCTTCGACTGCAAAGTCGCTTCTCGGTGGGAAGCTCCTCTATTCTGTCTAGCCAGTGACGGCCTATATTTCTTGTTTCTCATTAATTGGCAGGAAAGGCGGAGCCATTTCTCCTAAAGGCCAAATGCTGCTTTGACTAGGAAGGAAAAGCAGGGTTTCCTCTACTACTCATGTGCCCACCATCCTTTTAGCAGGGTCCCAGAGTGGCCAGCTTTTATGCTAGAAAGTCAACTGTGGCGTACCAAAGGGAGGAGGCCCCTGGGCAGAAAACGCTTGATGTCACGTGGGGCAGCATGGTTAAAACTTCCAGGGCTTTGGAAATACGCTTGGAGAGTGGACTCTGATGGGAGACTGGGGCTTCTGGGGGGTCACAGATAGGAAATGGCCCACCTATGCAGGCAAAGCAGTACATAGGCAAAAATAGTGCATTTAGAGATAGAAGCGTCTACCTCTGAATTTAATTTAACCCCTTTGTTGGCTCAACTCTGCCCAAATGTAGAAAACATCCAAAACAAACTGACGTCAACACCCTTTGCAACAGAACTCAACCACACAAAAGGCAACTTACATCATTTGAGCTTACAGTAAACAATACAGTAAAATTACCAGGAAACCAATCATTAAGCACTACGGAAATTCTTCTGTGTTGGCTCACAGATAATATTTCTCCATTCCCACCACCTCACCCTAAACCAGGGTCTCATTTTCTATATAAATTACTGTCAAACCTGAACTGGTCTCCTTGACTTCATTTTGGCCAAAATCCATTTTAGTTGACACCCCAAATTTAAGGGGTGATTTTGGCAAAATACTATGTTTGTTGTGGCAATGACCTTTTTAGAGAATCAAAACGCAAACAGAAAAAAAACAACAGCTTTTGATGGATACAGTCCATCCAAAATACTTTTTCAGCCTTTGGAAAATAACAAATAAATGTGTGAATGAACAATTGAGCCGTAGGACATTTAGGTTTGGGACTCTTAACAAACGTCTCCTCTGGGAAAGGGTATATTATTCAGGCTTATCTAACATCTTGAGTTAGATAAGATGTTGATCTTATCTAACATCAAAGTCAGAAACACCAGTGATCATATGTAACTTGAAAAATGTCTTCCATCTGGGCATTGTGAATTCTTTGATCGGCCCAGCGGAACAAGAAAACTTGTGCGTAGACCTTAAACTGACAATAGTGCTCACCCCTGCTAGAAATTCTCACCCCAGCTAGACACTCTGATACACACTCAGGTTTGATGAGAACTGCACATGGAGGTGCAGATGGACACACACACACATCATGGTCAAAGAATCTGCTTTCTACAGATTTCAGGTAAATTTCCTCCTTTCACTTTGTAATAGATTTAAAAACAATAAGGATCCACGATCAAAGATGGGATCTTCAGGTACATTTTGGTGAAAACGAGCCTACCTTGATTACAGAACTTGGAAGTAGAAAAAAACTGGTAAAAATGCCCGTGGGATATTTGAATGAGACCACCGGACCCAAGGCAAAATTCATTTTGATTCTCTGTGCCAGTTCAGGCATGGTGGAAAAGGCTGCAAACCCTAAGAGAACAGGAGACAAGACAATCTTGTAAAAATTGTTAATACTGAGGCAATGTCTGTACTAACAAAAGTAGGCTCTGCTTTGACATGTTATCTTTCTATTGCCACAATCTTGAGGATGCATTGGGAAACTCTTCTGAGTAGTTCTGCAAAAATAATCTGCCTTCGCCCAAGTGTCTATTTTTCTCATATGCTGAACAATTTAACTTGGTGGGGGAGAGTGAGGGATAAGCTGATGGCGCGGCCCCTGCCGAGGTGCCTGGGGACATCCTGGCTCGCAGGCATGGGTTAAGTGCGGGCAATGTTTTCATTTTACCACCAGCTCTGAGATGCCAGGATGAGTCATAGAGTTTCCAGGAGTAAATAATTGGTTCGTGGGAGGTGGACAGATCAGTTCTTTATAGAGTATTATCCAGTTATTCCACAATTTTCTTTCTCACAGTGCAAAGAGATTTCATTATTCCCAGTGCTCAACTGGATGCTTACCAACCTCCAGAATCTTCCTGGGGAGGACCAGCTGTCTCTACCTGCTCTAGATTTTCTGCAACACCTAGCACTTGTTTCTAGCCCTGTGAGGATGAGGACGGAGGTCCCCCCCAGCATGGGAAAGTGTGGAGTGTGTGCGTATTTTAGTTCCCTGAGATGCCTTCCTGGGACCCTGCCACTGTGTGTGTGTGTGTGTGTGTGTGTGTGTGTGTGTGTGTGTGTGTGCGCGCGCGCGCGCTCGCGTGTGCGGGTGTGCTTGGGGGCATAGCCATAGCAGAGATTTTTTTTTCCCCCTGAAACTCTTATTGAAACATTGAAACCATGCTGGCCAGGAAAAGAACTGACTTTGTATTAATTGGCTGAGCAATTGATACAAAGACTGAAACTGGCATGCGGATGTGATACTTCTCCCTAGAAGATCTTTGGAGTTGTGTGGAGAGGAGTCTGTCCATGCTCACACCACTAGTAGTGAGCAGGAGCCCGGGTTGCTAAATACCTTGCCAATAATGGGTCTTTCTCACTAACAATTGCTCTGCTGCAAATGCTCGCTGAAGAATGGCCTGCCCTAAACGCAATGCAGTAAATGCTTGCTAAATGTTCACTAGGATAGTACAATTATTTGCCAGCTAGTGGCAGGTTTGTTTTTTGTTTGTTTTTTGTTTTGTCTTTGTTTCCTATTACATTTTTAATATCCTTTTAGAATATGTCTTGTGATGCTCACTGGCTGTTCCAAATGTAAACTACCTGTTAATATAAAGCACCGATAAATATATATCTGCTGTTGATGGTAATGGTGATAAGGAGACTGTGAGATTATTTACTCATTTTTGCATCATTTCATCCCAGCTAAAATATTGCACTTCACATAATCTCTTAAAATTGGAAACTTTAGTGGAAGATCACTAACAAATTGACATTATTAACAGTATGGCTTTCTCTAAATTTTTATGTGGAACTGGATTTTTTTATTTCTTTCTAAAAGATCTAGTAAATCATCAAGAAGTACATTTTCAGAGAGTAGGATCTTGGACTTCTGAAAATTTTTCTACACAGTGTTTACACTGAACTGTGATTCCATAAATATTAACTCACATCCTAAATAGATAAGCCCAGTCGATGTATGCTTTTGTGTTTCAACTAAGAAAAAAAAAAGTGATCGTATATTTTCAATTTGTTCAAATAGAAGTATAACCTCACCCTTTTACTGCTTTTTAAAAATCCCATATGCGTTGTGAGGAAGGTATGATCAATGTGTACTTACCATTCTTGAAGTTTATTTTATGGCATCAGGCTTTACTTTTTCAGCTCAGAGGGGACCTAGAAACGTACTCTTTGGAAATATTTCTATGGATTTGGGGCTCACATAAATTATATCACCGTAACCAATTTGTGGTTGGGACCAGAAATGGAGGAAAGATTTGTCCTACACACAGTCTCTGAAATTCAAGTTCACAGCCACTTGGGGCACTAGGATGATATGCCCAGTAGAATTAAGGGCAAGTTCACAACCACTGAGGGCACTAGGTTGACATTTCCGGCACAGGACAGAGAATGAAGGGCAGAATAAATAGTAGTTACTCTGTTCCAGTTTAAAGGCAAACTCTTGCAAGGCTCTGAATTTGTAAAACATGGACATTTGTAAACATACCTATTGTAGTGCCAAGTGAGTGTCCAATGAAATAAAGCTTCTCTTCACCAGTTTTATTTACAATGAAGTCTACTATTCTTGGGAGATCATATTTGGCCATTTCATCGAAACTGCAAAATAGAACAGGGGCTTATAAATACTACTAAGTTTAAAACACAGAGCACCTGCTCACTTATTTTTTTATACACAGAATTCTGTGCTTTTCACTGGTGTAGTGTGCATTTCATTATTTATCCAGTTATGAGCAGGCTATTGTAGCCTTTGTTGGCTGCATTTATACCTGTTACTTTTACTGGGGCTGAATTCAAGACTTGTGTGTACTGTCTGAAGGTCAGTCTTACCATTTCTCCCCGTAACCCTCTCCCCTTTCCCAGCTGGTTTGCCTGCCTCTACTTCAAACCCCTCCCCCCTGCTCCCGGGTACTTCCAAGACTCACATCCAGCTTTGGAAACAGAACTGGCTGCAAATCATGACTTTAGCTGAGTAACTTTTGATGAATTACTTACACGCTCTGAGCTTCAGTTTCCTCATCTGGGAAAGGAACATGATGCCAGCAATGTAGCTAGGGTCTTGTAGTAAACAAGCTCCAAGCTCCAGGCCAAGGGCCACGGACACAAAATACTATTCTGATGTTCGCCCTGCCCCAAAGCTCCGACAGTGCCAATTTACTCTATCCTTCCTTGATTCTCCCCCTGCCGGTGCTAGTGGATGCTGACCATTTCATTCATGGGTTAGGAATTGCACCCCGTGTTCTGGGAGCAGGCTTGCAAACCAACAGGGAGCTTAGCCTTGTAAAGGGAAGTCTCTTGCAGGCATCCGTCTGGTGCCGGTGGAGGACACTTTCACGAAAAGAAGCAGGCAGCATATGAGATGAGTGTTCTCCACTGCCCAGCTCCTACTGGGGCTGTCCTGAAAATGCTATTGAATAGAGTCTCAACCAGAGTTTGTGCAAATAACATAGAGTACTGGTACCCATCATCTCTACAAAACTGACCGACTGTCTGGGAGAAAAGACCTGTATTAGTAGCACCAGAATAAATATAGGCATCGCGAGGGCCGGTATTTTGCTTGCTCTTGAGAGCTCAGGGCCCAGAACTGTGCATAGACTAGACACTCAGCAAACATTGGTTGAACGAGTGCGTCCACTGGTCTCAGGAATTTCCTGAGCTGCCCCTTAAGACATACTTATAACGTACAGTATTGGAACGAATTGGATGTTAAAATGATCGTGGTAAAATGACGTGACTTGCTTGTGGGAGAATCCGTGGAAATCAAACTCCCTGCTATTTCTCTGCTTCAAGATGTTAGCAGAAGCTACGAGGAACCACGTGACTCCCAATGTTAGAGATAATTATTAATATCACCCACACTATTATGTTCAAAGAAATGGTCCCCAAGTTTCTTCACGATTTTTCTTAGACTCAGTTTACCTAAAGGCCCAGAATTTTTCTTCAGTCACTGAGAGTGTCTTGTGTCTTCTTGACCAAGTGTTTCCCCGACTGTTTCCCATCCAGACATCGTAACCTGCATCTGCTAGAAGGAATCCAAGGCTGCCATTGGCATAGTTCTCAAGCCAAGAGGCATTGTCTGCAAACAAAGCATGCTGCAGGTATACAACTGGCCGGGGGCCTGGAAGGAGGGAGGAAGAGGGAGAGTAATTTATGATAAAGCAGAGCATCTCAGGAACATGATAGAAACACACACACACATGCCCAGAAGCAAAAACCCAATCAGTATTCACCTTTCCCTTCTGTACAGAGCATTATAATCACATGACATAAGTTTCTGGAGCTCATACATTCCTGGTGGTGCAACGCTGACAGATGGCCATGCACAAGCTTGTTACATTCTCATAAAACCCCATAAAGTAGCTACTATTTAAGGATCCTCATTTTCCAGAGGTGGAGACTGAGCTTTAGAAGGTAGTTAGGTGACTTTCCCAAGGGGCCACCCAGTTAACAGGGTGCAGAGCCAGGACTCAAGCCCGCTTCTGTTTCACACCCGACTGTGTGCTTGTAATGGTGCTCGCTGCTCCATGAATTTACTTTTGCGTATCTCCTGGGTCTGGCTGGCAGAGACGTGAAAGTGATCGTGTTTGATGGAGTCCTGTGTCGCTTCCGGGGCGGGGGGAGGAGGGGGTGGTTGGGGGTGGGTGTGAGTGTAGATGGCAGCCAAGCTTCTGGCCAAACACCTCATTTTCTTTCTTTCTTTCTTTCTTTCTTTCTTTCTTTCTTTCTTTCTTTCTTTCTTTCTTTCTTTCTTTCTTTCTTCTTTCTTTCTTTTTTACAAATAGTTTATTGTCACGTTGGTTTCCATGTAACACCCAGTGCTCATCCCCACAAGTGCCCTCCTCCATGCCCATCCCCCCTCCCCCCCACACCCATCAGTCCTCAGTTTGTTCTCAGCATTCAAGAGTCAAACACCCCGTTTTCTGATGCCCACTGGGGAGCATTTGAAAACCACAGATACAATACAACCCACTCAACACGCCTCTGACAACCACCAGATTCCTGAGGGAGAAGGTATTCAAGGAGATAAGAAGAACCAGGGTGGAAGGTTCCAAAATGGCACCATCATTCAATGGGTAAGAGCACATGCTCTCTGGAGCCAGGCTGGGTTTGAGTCCCGATTCCATCCCTTGCCGTCTGTGTGACCTCGAGCCTGATATAGAACCTGCTTTGCCTCAGTTTTATCATCTGTAAAATGATAACCATTAATAGTACTGGCCTCATACAGATGCTGAGAGCTTTATCTGATACATACGAATTTAAAGATTTTAGAATAATATACTCAAGAGATGGCTCTTAACTCCAAATCTTCCCCAAATCCTCCTTCCTTAACTAAAACCTTTCCTGGAGATATGCTCTCCTTTTATGCTCCCTAGCCACCTTCCCCCAACCCTCCTTGGACTGGTATTGCCAGATTTAGCAAAAAAATGAAAACAAAGATTAACAAAAGGCTCGGATGCCATGTTAATGTGAATTTCAGATAAAGGAAGAAAAACTTTTGTATAAGTACATCATAAAGTGGAACTTGTACAAGAAACTGATCGGTCATTGATCTGAAACTCAGCTTCCACAGGGCGTCTCCTATTTTATCTGGTAACCCTATCTACGCCCCACTCCCAGTTTGCATTCCAAAAGTCTAGAATTACACATTTCTTTCTTAGAGGCAGAGGAGGTCAAACAGCGTGATGTTAGCTGCCTCTGAATGTGACTGGCAGGAGGGCTGGTGCAGTCGGAGTTAAATGACTTTGCCCCCCAGCCTCCCCAGATACTTTGCTTACTCTTCTTTCTTCCTCATCTCGAGATCTTCAGCTATGCGTCCTCTGCTTTTGTATGGCTGGCTCTTTATTCTAGAATACCGGCCTTCCTAACACCATGCTCTTTCATGCCACAAAACTTCTGTCCCTCAGATCAAAACATAGGTGAATGTTCCAGTTTTCCTTCCTGGAAAAAAGCTTCAGAAATGTCACGATCATTTAAGTTGCTCCCCTCCCCCCCCCCCCCCCCACACTTTATCCTACAGAGCAAGGCCTGTTGATCTTTGCAGGGGCAGGAGAGACTTCATGCAACCCAGCCAACTTCCCACAGCCCAGCAAATGTCTTAACAGCAGCGAGGAAATCCACTTTCCTGGGATGCAGCAATTTTCCGCATGACAGATCAGTAATGAACCAGAGAAATGTACGCTCTGCCTTTGCATTTACATGACTAGCAACCAGCCTGCTCGCCTTCGACAAGATTGGTCTTGCCCTTTGTATTTTTAGCTTCTTGCCTGTCTTCAGAGACCGGGGAAAGAATGAGGCTCCCTGTTGACTATTTAAAGACTAATCCAAGTTTTGACAGACCAGTCATTCTCTTAAAGGAAAACCAGCACTAAATATTAGTCATTTGCCATCCTCTTTCGCAGGAGAAACACATCTCCTACCTGTGCTTCTAGCATCTCCTCGCCCGTGGGGGATTCTATTGATGCTGAGGATGTACCCATCTTGAGTGGTGACTTCATACTCCTCACTGGGGTAGCCATTATAGGTGATGATCTCACTCTGTCCGGTGAAAATACACGAATTAGCTCAACATCTTCTCCAGAGGTTATCAGAAGAAACTAGAACAAAGCATCTGGTATGTGTTTATTGGGGTGAATGATCTGAAATCTGTAGCCCCAGGTAACTGTAAGATTAATTTACTATGTAAAGTCTTGATAACAAGTAAGCAGACTATTGGTAAATTTGAGGGTGAGTGGTTGGGTGGAGATATTATTTAATATCGACCTATTCTTATGAGAAAACTATGGTCTCAGCCGATTCTCGAGACCCCTCTTAGTTTAAAGATAATAAAACCATAGTCCACTAGAAGGCAATCATATCCCTCATCCAAATGGCTTAAAATATAAACTCTTAATGTTTTAAAAACATAAATTCAAAAGAGGAGGTTGCCTACAAACATGTGTTTGCTTTACATGACTAGAGAGTATTACTTATTCAGCCGAAGGAAAGCATCTGCCTAGCTTGACTCTTAGAGAAATGTTAAAAATCACCTGGGTTTTTTTTTTTTTATCCTTTTTCTTCTCTAAGATTTTTCTGCTATCACAAGACCATTGTTACTCTCACAACCCATGTGTCTGCCTTATTCGATGTCTTTTGGAACTTCCCATGACTTACAATATTCATCCACACTTCAGGATTCGCTTCATTTTCCAAATTAAAGAAGCTACCAGCATTTAAAGTTCCACAGAGCAAACAGGTTGTTGTTAAAAACAGCCACATCATGGGAATGCCTGACATAAGACATTTAATAATCACAGATTAATTTTATACGTCAACGTTGATGAAGAGGTGAGGGAGCAAACACAGAAAGCTACCTCTGAGCCTGTGGATCCATTACTCACATGGGAACTGCTTTGACTTAGTCCAGTTCTTGAAGTAAATTTGATCTAGTAAGGAGGCTTATTTTTTGGTCTTTTTTTACTCAGTTATGTGAAGTCTCTGCTCATCTTCCAGTTGCCGGATACCTGAAGGCAACGAGGACAGGTGTCCAAGCCACAGCAACATGAAAAGTGCTCCTACCCCAACTGGCTTCCCACAAAACAAACAAGAACAATGAGCAGAGAACCTGAGGACCGGTTTCCAGGGACGGGATTATTTCCCTTGTGGACACCCAGAGGGGAAGGCACATTGAAATGTGTCATCTCTTCCTTGGCTTAAAAGCATCTCTTCCTGGACAGCCCGACCTCATCGCAGTGCAGAGGGTCGTCCTGTAAGAGCTGCAGCCCCATGGCCCGAGATCGAGGTCCAGCCTCACCACTCCCAAGATTTCTGACCTTGGGCAACTTATTTAGCAGCTTTGTCTCTTGCTTTCCTTGTGGGCAAAATTAGAATAACAACGTAACCTCCCTTACAGGGTTACAGGAACGATTAAGTGACCTACAGAGCACTAAATACAGGTAAGCCCTTTCACTGTTTTTTCTAATCTGAGCAAGAGCCAGAAAGGAACACCGGAGAACTTTTACCGGAACAAATTAATGACTGACTTCTAGAAATTGAGAGCTTCCTTCTGAAGTTAAATAGCTTCCCATGTTTGCTGTCTGGTTGAAGATAATCTTCTATCTGCAAACATTATATAATTTTAAATGTTTTTAAAACTAGTGATGGCCAATGTCTACTGAGTGCTGAGCTTGTGCGGAGAATGGTTCTATATACTTTGTGTATGTTATTTAAATCTGAAAGAGGGGCGCCTGGGTGGCTCAGTTGGTTGGGCGTCTGACTTCGGGACTTCGGCTCAGGTCATGGTCTTGCAGTTTGTGGGTTTGAGCCCTGCGTCAAGCTCCGTGCCGACAGCTCAGAGTCTGGAGCCTGCTTCGGACTCTGTCTCCCCTCTCTCTGTTCCTCCCCTGCTCATGCTCTGTCTCTCTCTCTGTCTCTCAATAATGAACAAAAATGTTAAAAAAAAATTTTTTAAATCTCAAAGAAACTGCATGAGGTAGGTCCTATGATCCTCACTTTATCAATGAAAGAAACCAAGGCTCAGAGAGATTTTAGATCTGCCTAAGGTCACAGAGCCAACAGAGGGAGACCAGGAAGGGCTGTCACCTCCCAGGAGCACCCTCACACCTGAGAACCATTCCCAACTCCCCTCCCAGCTGTGATGGATCTTGATCTTACCTTGTTAAGTGAGCTTCCCCTGCTCCCGAAGGCGCTGTACCGATTAGGAACCCCTGAACTTTTGCATGTGACATCAGGCTGGAGAATGAGATGTAGTTGCAGTGACAGTTAGAAGCTGGAGAGAGGAGAAACAGGAAGCCTATGGAAATGAGGAAATCCTGCCCTGCGACGCCACCCAGGGCGTCTTCCTGACACACCAAATGCCATGATTCGCTTGCAGGTTGGGAAATAGTGGTCTGCATGATTCCAAATAACCAGTTTGACTGAATCCTTCGCGTTTCCATGGAGCGGCTGCCATGGCTGGGAGGGTTCAGCAGCATTTTCAAAGTCTTGCATGAAATGGGGAAGCAGGATGTACAGAGGATCCCAGTGGACAACACCAGGCATAACAATGGCTACCTTCTCAATGCCGTAGCATCTCTGTCAGGATCACATGAAGCCATGAGTGTAAAAGCACTGATGTCAACCACGTAGCGGAGAGGGAGGTGATTGATTGTAGCTAAGTCGTGGCGACGACACCATCCTGACTCCAGGCAGAACCTGGCACTAGCATTGTGGCAGAGGAAGCTGACCCACAGGAAACTGACCGTAGTGCGTGCTGAACCGCAGACCTCTCACCTCTACTTAAAACAAAGCGGAAGGGCTCCTGGGTGGCTCAGTCAGTTGAGTGTCTGATTCTTGACTTCGGAACAGGTCGCGATCTTATAGTTCGTGAGCACGGTTCCAGCCCTGGGCTGGGCTCGCACTGACATTGCAAAACCTGCTTAGGATTCTCTCTCTCTCTCTCTGCCTCTCCCCCGTTCACTCTCTCTCTCTAAATAAACAAATAAACCTTTAAAAAATTATAACAACAACAACAAAGTAGAAGCAGAGGCCAGAGGAGAAGGCAGGTAATTTAGCTCCACATCCCACCTGAAACATGCGCATCAGTTTCCTGTTCTGCCCTGTGCTCTGTACACCTGCAGGGCCCTGGCAGCGACCGAATCTCTCGGGGACAAGAAGGAGGAAGAAAGCTAAGTCCTACCTAGCACGATCCAGTAATTTCAGTTCGTAGTTTGTACCCATTCTCCAATTCTCTCAAAAACAAAGACATTATTTGGATTTATCCAAACCTTAAGATCCGTTCCACTGGAATGGGAAATGTCATGCCAATTACACGAATGTAGATTCAACGCAAGCAATCAGCTTGTTAGACTAGGTGGAAGGATTACGGACACACAACCCTCATTCTGCCTTTGAGGAAAGACTCTACCGTTCTTGATGGCCCCATGGCAGAGGCGGGAGGGCTTCCCGGGAAACACTCATATATTTTTTTTAATGTTTTATTCATTTTTGAGAGAGAGATAGAGACAGCGTGAGCAAGGGAGGGTCAGAGAGAGAGAGACACACACACAGAGGCCGAAGACAGGCTCTAGGCTCTGAGCTAGCTCAGAGCCCGATGCGGGGCCCGAACCCATGAATCGTGAGATCATGACCTGAGCCGAAGTCGGACGCTCAACCGACTGAGCCACCCAGGCGCCCCTCAGAAAAGCGCTTCTAAAAGAACTTCAGTGGACTCTGGAGAGTTCTAGGAAGCACAATGTTCATACTCTTAATGCTGATTGGTGGCCATGGGTCCATGTGGAAATAGCGTGAGTGGAGTTACACGTCTCAGGCCTTTACAGGCTGTAGACCAGCATAAATACAAAATAATAGCCCTTAATCTCTAGAGGCTCAAATGTTCCCTGCTTCCCCCTCCCCCATAATATTAGATGATATTAGGACTGGAACATATTCTTGGATAAAAGGTAGATTGGGGGGCAACCTTTCCAAAGCTCTGTGGTATTTCTGATATCTTGATCCAAAGATCATATCGCAGTCTGGGCAATTTTTTTTTTAATTTTTAAAAAATGTTGATACATGTAAAAAAAATTTAATGTTTCTCTTTTGAGAGAGACAGAGACAGAGTGTGAGTGGGGGAGGGGCAGAGAGAGAGGGAGACAGAATCTGAAGCAGGCTCCAGGCTCTGAGCTGTCAGCACAGAGCCCAACGCAGGGCTCCAGCTCATGAGCCATGAGGTCAGGACCTGAGCCAAAGTCGGACACTTATCCAACTGAGCCACCCAGATGCCCCATGAACAAATTTTTTAATGATGACTCCCAATTCAGGTATCCAGATGACTAAAAGTATGTGGCTGAGCATAGAACATAGTTTCTGGAACATTGGTGTCTATCTGTGAAAATGGTCATTATTTTCCTTCCAATGTTTTCATTCAAAATACATTTGCTATTACAGCGCATCTTTCTTTTTGTGTTTGCTTCTTTCTCCCCAAAGGCTGGTTTTTTATGATATATAAATTTGTATCAAAGGGGGAATAGTTTTGCCTTGAAGCCAACTGGAGGTTAAAAATCTTAGGTTGTGGGGTACCTGGGTGGCTTAGTTGGTTAAGCGTCCGACTTTCGCTTAGGTCATGATCTCGCTGTTCGTGGGTTCGAGCCCCGCATCGGGCTCTGTGTTGACTGCCAGCTCAGAGCCTGGAGCCTGTTTCAGAGCCTGTGACTCTCTCTCTCTCTGACCCTCCCCTGCTCATGCTGTCTCTCTCTCTCTCCTAGAAATAAAAAAAAAAAACATTAAAAAAAATGTTAGGTTGTAACTAACAAAATAGAGACAATGAGAATTTTGGAAAAATAAATAATTTGAAATCTTACCCCCTCTAGACAACTTTTACCCTAGAATAAGAGATTTTGTGTGGGGCGCCTGGGTGGCTCAGTTGGTTAAGCTTCTGACTTTTGGTTTCAGCTCAGGTCATGATCTCATGGTTCATAAATTCGAGCCCCACACAGGACTCTGCACTGACCGTGTGAAACCTGCTTGGGGTTCTCTCTCTCTCCTCTCTGTCCCTACCCCCATTGGTCTCTCGCTCAAAATAAAAAAAAATAAATAAATAAACTTAAAAAATCTTTCAAAAAGACTTTGCATGAACAGGAACACAGAATTTGTTGCTTGCTCACTAGATAATTTATCTGATTCATTATGCAGCTGAAATTCAAATACGGCTCAATAAAACTGCACACACACATGCAATGATTGATTAACATACTTTGGCTTTAGGAAAGGCACTTAAGTTACAGTTAGGAATTTGTTTTCTTCACCCATAAAGCAGAACTGGCCATGCTAATGACATCTATGAGATACAGTGCTGTTTCTGAGATTGTTTAGCAGAGCAGAGCATGTTGTCTTTGGTACTGCTGTCCCTGAGTCTCCATGTCAGCCCCAGTAGACTACACCCACCTTCACACACCGGGTGGTGACAGTAAAGATGCAGAAGAGGGAACAAGCAAATCCAATCTAAACCGCACAAAGGAAAGATGGCTTCTATTTAAAGAGACGTTATTACCAGAAAGTGCAGGTGGTTTACCTGGATGACACTCACGTCCCAGAGTGGCAGGATCAGGGCTGTACTCGTGCAAAGGTCAAAGCTTTGTGAGAATGAAGAGGAGGGACCATTTCATTGAATAGGAGGAGATATAGCATCTGATCCTCCAAGCAGGTTTACCTGCCCAACTGCTTGCTTAATGTGCAGAACTCATGTCTGGTATTCTCTACAGGTCATTTTGTATTTGAATTCCTGTAGGAGGTATGTTCCAATGGGAATGCTTTTTTAAACACACACACACACACACACACACACACACACACACACACACACACCACTTGGCCAAAAAATTGAAGTCGATTCTAGCTTAAGATACAGTCTCATCAGTTGGTGTAGGTAAAGGAATGGAATGTGCACCAGGGGTAACATTGGCTATTTTGATACATGGTCCTGTTTCTTTTCTGAGTTAGCTTTTTATTGCGTTAAATTGCTGTTAAATCACCTTCAAATCTCCCCAGCACCCCTGAGAACAGGTAGATGGCTTATAGCATCATGGGATCTTGATTTCCTCCCTCTCCTAATCCCCATCAACATCAAACATATTCTCCGGGCGAGTGAATAAATGAATGAATGGATGAATCTAGAAGTCCACAAAACATTGCTTAGTTATCCAGGAAAACTAATACTATTATTATTCATAAAAAGTGAATACTTAATTATTGATTGAATATAAACTTTGCATCAGATACTTTACCTTGTTACTCTGCCAGCCTGGCTATAAATTCTGCTAGATCTTTTTGTTTTAAGTATACTGCAAAAGACATTTTTCTTAAATTGTTATATGGTAAATTGAATAAGAGAGTAAACTCATAGAAAATGTCAATCTTGCTTTGTTTTTGTACTAAGTTGAAATACTCCCACCTTTAGTCATAGATGACAGCACATATTGATATAGTAAGAAATTGATACTGGATATTCCTTTTTCTGCTATTATGCAGCCTCCAATTTATCCTTAAGTCTACCTATTAGGGCACTATCTGATATCCTTCATATAATCTCTCTTCTCAACCTTATAAGTGTAGAATTATTCAAGAATTTTTTCCTACAAATAACGAGATTTCTTAGGCCATAATTCTTTTATAGCCACATATCCTAAAGTATAAGGAAATGGATGAAATTAAGTTTTATCTTATACTTCCTTTAAACTAAGAGATCCAAAATATGATCATATTAACGTGCAATCTATATTATTCATGCGAGACTTTATTTCTTTTTTGTTTTGGTTTGTCTCCACCAAGTCTTTAAATGTGATGACTCTGAGACACTCACAGCACATCTCTGTTAGAACTACCTGTATTGTAAGTGGTTACTAGACACTGCTGACTAGTGGCTGTGGATTAGAGGGTAGAGCTCTCTTCCATCCATCTTGTGCTTGGTCTTTTCTTGAAACTTTTCTCCAACTCGAGGGGACTCTTCCCAAATACATAACTTGGTATCATATAGTTGACCTCAACTGAGTATCTGCCTACCCATCTTCTTATTGGCTGCATCATCAAACTTAGGTTCTCAAGTGCTTGGCCACTGCTTCCCCACTCAGACTCGAGTCTTACTATCTTGTAAAAAGTTTTGCTTACCAATATTCAGTGACGATACTTTGTCAAAAGCACAAGGAAACACCAATGTTCTCAAGGTCAGTAAATCTAGAGAGCTTATTACATTGACTCTGCTCCAACAACAAATGCCAAACTATTATTTACGTTTTTTTAATGATTTCATATTTCCTGGTAAAGAAAATGTCACCAAAATGATTATGCCATCATTTACTTAGTTATTTATTTTAATGTTTATTTATTTTTGAGAGAGAGAGACAGAGCGTGAGCAGAGGAGGGGCAGAGAGAGAGGGAGACACAGAAACAGAAGCAGACTCCAGGCTCCAAGCTGTCAGCACAGAGCCTGACGTGGGACTCGAACTCGAGAACTGGGAGATCATGACCCGAGCCCAACACAGACGCCGACTGACCCACCCAGGCACCCTGATTGTGCTGTCATTTAATTTCATTTACAAGTTTGACAGCTTTCTGGATCTACCTCTTCCAAGAGTGTTGGTTGAATAAACAATAGTTGGACATGTGTGCAATTAGTATAGCTTTTTGGAGAGGTTTTGCTTCAAGATTATGGGTATTAGCACAGTTTCACTGATTGTCCCTAAAAGATGACTGAGTCCTTAATGTGGAACTGACAAAGTATTTGTCCATGGCTAACCTTGTGGTTCGAAATAGCCATATAGTAGCCAGAGCTTCCTTATCTCAGCTGGAGCTCCAGAAACTTCTAGCTAGATTTCCTGTATGTGTCTTCATGCCTTCTCCATGTTGTGGCTACTGTCATCACTTTATTTTATTTTATTTTTTAAGTTTATTTATTTTGAGAGAGAGAGAAGGA